TTTCTCCCCTCATTTTCCATTATTGTAAAATGGTTCAATGTTTCTATATATAAAAAATATATAATCTTAAACTGATCTTTTATAAGGTAAGATGCTTTTCGTGTCAATTGGGTGGTTTTAGCGAATTTCCCTATAGGGAAGTAGCTATTACCGTAGGTCTCATGGTAACACTTAGGCCCGGGACCGATTTACTTTTTCATTTTGATGTCCCCAGAGGCCAAAAACACCATTCGTTCAAATTGTTATATATATATATATATATATATATATATATATATATATATATATATATATGTATATATATATATGTGTGTGTGTCCGTGAACACGATAGCTTGAGTAATTTTTATCCGATTTTGATGAAATTTGATTTAAAGGTGTAAGGCGGGATAAACTTGAATGAGTTCGCGATCCAGCATGATCGGACCATGGGAACAGGGTTTTATGGGGGGTTTTATGGGGTAAAAATTGGGTTTTCTCACTTTTGACCCTCAAAACACAAAATTTCCCAATTTTCCTCTAAACCTTCTTAAAGAGCTTAAAAAAACAAACAATTCAGTATATCAAAGTGTTTTTGTACGGTTATTGGTTACGGAGAAAACTAAAAAAATGGTAAATTTAAAATTCCCATGTTATTCTTATGGAGAATATTGTAAAATGTTGTAGTTTGCTTGTTTATGGATATCTTTTGATCAAACTTGGCAAATATATTCATTTTATACTAAGCAATCATTATTTTACTTAAAACACACACTTTATTAGTTTCCTTGTAGCAGCAAACCTAGGTACTCGTTAAACCTAATGTTATTTAAATAGATCAATTGAAAATCAATTCAGCCAAATGGAAATTCGCTAAGACGGCAGGTTTGCTGCGGCGGGGGTATTTATAGTAGACATGGATGACGGTTCCATGGCATTTAGGTGCTTGAACCTAATAAAATGTAAGGACAGAAGGCATATCCTTGCCTCGAATGTGTCACACAAATTAAAAATATTACTGTGCCACTAATCGGTAAAGAGAAATAAATGCAACAATAATTTATTTTTGTAAAAAAATACAACCGACTTCAAACGCTCTAAAAAGAATGAAATAATTTCAATAAAGTAAACTTTTGTATTAGGCAAGCTCACGTATTTTAAGTCGGCGCAGTTCTATGATGATTTTTGATACAAAATTGAAAGAGGGTGTCCATATTGCAGGTGACTATCTATAACTAAAGGTGTTAATCTACATGTCTTTTTCATAGCTATGCGTTACGTGATATTTTATTAACGTAATCAGAGATCGGCATTATATTGGTATTAACGAGTATCTGTAAAAAGATTATAACGCATTTAAATGTTTCTAACTTGGAAAAGTAACGTTTTAATACTAAACTAGCTTCTTTTCCCTATCATAATAATAATATCAAACTAAATTATTTACCTAATTCCTGTGTGTTATTTTCATAATGTATTTATTCTGAAGTAAACATAAAATACAAGAAAATATTTCCTTTAATATATAAACAAAACAGTTCAGTATGTTTTTTTTTATATATTTATGTTATCCAGCTACAATTTATTGATTTTTAAAATACACACACAATATTTAATTTCAATCATATTTGCAGTTTGAGCCGCGCCGACTTGAAATACGTGAGCTTGCCTAATACAAAAGTTTACTTTATTGAAATTATTTCATTCTTTATAGAGCGTTTGAAGTCGGTTGTATTTTTTTACAAAAATAAATTATTTCATGATTTTTAGTGACTGTATAATTTTTTATATATTAATTACTTGAGGATTTTTGATAAGCAAAACTGTTTGAAACAATCAAAAGTTCCACAGAACAATCATTATTTTAAAACTGCTTGAGTCACCTGTTCATGTTACATAATCAATGGGTATGAAAATAAATATTTTTAGATATTCCTTAAGAAAGAAAGAGTTGTACATTACATTGGGCCTAATGAAAAACTAATTGTCTTTTCTAGATACATTGAAATGTCAGACATCATCGTTTCCTGCAATCGGTGTACTTCTACATTATAAAAAGAAATACAGTCACGTCTCAAAGCCTTTTGGAACAATATGAAAGTAATTCCTCAGCTACCAGCACTAAAAAATCTCTCAAAAGTGGAAAATTGGTCGTTAACACGAATAGTACCTTTGGAAAATATTATATGAAAGATTGGTTCAGCTAAAAGTGGTGTAAGTCATGTAGGGGGTTTTGTTTGCTCAAGATATAGCCTAGTCGAAATTGCAAATCATCTTCCTCTAGGACTTTCCGAAGCAGGCATAATAGTATTGACATGTTATAGTAACTTGGTAGAGAATATTAATAAACATTCCACATCTGCAAATGAAATATGTGTATGAAAGATTGGGTAAGCTAAAAGTGGTGCAAGCCATGTAGGTGGTTTTGTTTGATCAAGATATAGCCTAGTCGAAATTGCAAATCATCTTCCTCTAGGACTTTCCGAAGCAGGCATAATAGTATTGATATGATATAGTAACTGGGTAGAGAATATCAATAAACATTCCACATCTGCAAATGCGTGTTTAGTAATTAAAATATTTAACACTTTTAAGACAATTGACGATTATGCACTGTCTGTAAGGAATAATTGCATTTAATTTATATTTAGACCTGTTTTACGAATGTTTTGGTTTTCACAATACACCTTTAATTGTCAATATCATACAGCTATTCACTGAAACATATATGTTTTTGTAAGTCAGAATATTCAATACTAAAAACAGAATTACTGTACATACACAAATCAGGTCAAACGTTAAAATAAATTTTTTATAGTAACCAAAACAAAATTTATTTTCTCAATTAATTCATTTAGGCTCCATGGCAAGAAATAGTTTATTGATCAATATGGAGCAACTGTTTCATGAAGAATTGTCTGTAGCTTCTTTTAAATGATTTCAACTAACAGCTGTAGGAATGTTATTATTATTTATTGCCTTCTCTGCACAAATGTCAACAATCTGCACAAATGTAAACAAAATAAATGTTGAATATTTAAGTTTTTCAGAATTTTTCACCGAAACAAATATTATACTTAAACATAATATATAAGGTACCAAATAGAAACTCTCCTGGTTATTTTGGTGGTGGAACCACACTGATCGGTAAAAGAATCACAGAGAAATTGGTGAACATACATAGAAAAAAAAAACATCGCCACAAACAAATTGAGAACCTCCTCCTTTTGTTGGTAGTGGGGAAGTCGGTTAAAAAGACAACCACGTATTGTACATCTTTGTTCAAAGAAAATGTCACTAAGATTGTTAAATACAACCCCTTGGAAAATGATAAATCATAATCGATAGTTGCAATATTTTTAAATACCTTGCTATAGCACACATTTTACACAATATGAAGATTTTTAGGCTCGAGATCGGGAATTTAATTAGATCCGTAGTCCCTACATTTTATTTTGCTTCACTTGTAACTTGTATTTTGCGCACTTCTAACTGTATTGTGGAACACGATTGAACTCTTTCTGTTTGAAATATGAATATTAACACATTTAGTATGGATACAAGGTCAAAGATACACAAGATGTGTATAACAAAAACCACAACCAACCTGTTGGGGATGTGATACAATGTACACAAAATCAATAAAATTAAGATCAATCAGTTCAAAATCGATAAACACCCCTAAATTTACATGTAGGCTTCCCTAACAATGTTTTAGTAGGGCATGTGAAATTTCTTGATGAATTTCTCACATGTGAACAGCATCGTATGACGTAATCAGGACAATTAATACCACTTGTCTCACTCTCTATCGCTCTAATCTCTCCACGGTACTTCACAACACCTGAGCGATCCTCGTTGAAAGCCGCTTATTAATGCTTTTGAGCGAACAGAGGCGGGTGAACCGTTTACTAAAGGGTTTACCCAGAAGTTATCCCATATACTCCACTCTTGCTCTGTTATCATCAAGTTTGACGAATGTTTTTGATTAAACGTTTATATTTCGGCAATATTTATTTACAAAGTACTAATTATTATTATGGATTTAGTAATGTGAATAAATAAAATGAAATCTTACACCGTGTATGTTGCATAGAAATGTTGATGGTCAAATCTAGTTCCCAAATAGAACAGTAGTAGATACAGTTTTTCATTCGTTTAAAGTTATGACTATATACACTCTTTTGAACAAATCAAGTATGTATATACCTCATTCCCAATCTTAAAATGTTTTAGCCGTTTGCCAGCTGAATTTTTAAGCTCTTAAAATGATTTTCACATGAAAAACTGTAAGAAAATTACATTCATTGCCACGAATTGATAAAGCTCATGTGTTTGATATCTTTAACTGCGAACAAGAATGCTTTGGCGACGCCGTGTTTTATATATTACATGTTTAAATTGTGAGATCTGTTTATTGTGGTACAAAAAAAGGTTTTCAGACTTTGTCTTGATACCTTAGTGTAATGCACGGCAAGGAAAAATCCAAGAAAATCAAAACTCGTGGCGTGAAAAGCTACATAAACAAAGTATATGAGGCTGCAGACAACGGAGAGTTTTGTAGCCGGTTTACGTTTATGATCTGTTTTCACTCGAAGTTTATCTATCTTAGTCCCCAGACGCTTGCGAAACAAGTGTTTTTGAAAACTTGTTCCACAGGCTGCGAACGTGTCGGTTCATATTTCGTTTTATGGCTGTCAGATAGTATTTTTTCAATATTACTACTTATAAAATGTACACTGACGTAATTTTGATTTCAAATATCAGTATAATACAGTAATGTCTTTACATAAAAAGTGAGATTCAACCACTTACTGTACCTCAACTACAATAATTACGGTATTGGCTTTGCTACACCAAGTTGAACGTTAAATTTGTATGTAATATATTCGCAAAAAATAAACATTTTAGGACCGATTTGTTTTCATCAAGAATGTATGCAAATTTAAGACCCTATTTCTATATGTTGTTTCTTATTCATTGACAGTACGCTGAGAGTTAAATTGTTATTTTGTGTTCCAGTTTCGGCAAGAGGACTGGAGGCAGTGCACGGAGGCCTAATGAATGTTTCGTCCTCGAACCATCCGAGATGATTGTGGTGAGTACTGAGTTAATATCAGACTAACGACACAAGTATACTTCTCATTCCATTGTACAATTTTTAGGTTTGTTTTTCATGTCTTGTTCATGATAGTGACTCTGGGCGCTGGCTTTTACACAATTTTGTTTATATTATTTTAGGGTTGATTTAATGATTTGAGCTTTACTTTTTGGTTAAACTAGTGGACGAGTTAATGTTTCCGATCGTTTTATTTGGTTAAACTAGGTTTTAAATAATTGAAATAATAGTAAAGAAATCGTAAAAACACGACCCTAGAGGCACCGGATGGAACTAACAATAAAATTGTCTTCAGCAGATGAAAAATCCACTAAGGGAGTATGTTGTATCCAATATCACGAGATGAGCTGCTCTTTTAATTCTTCCATTTATTTTACTTCCTTCAAATTTGTATTTACTGGTGTTTACACTTAATATAGTTTATATTTTCCAACGTATAAAAACGTAGTGTGGTCGTTAGAGCATGTTTTTTTACCAGAGTTGTTCAAAGCAAAAAGACAAAGCTTAGTCATAATGGCCATATACTGGTTGAACTTCTTCGGCGCGAATATTGTGTTAAAATTTGTTTTAAAAACTAAACTATACCACTAAGTTAGATTTTGCAAAACGTCGAAATCATGAGGAAAATAAAGTCAAAACTGTCAGAAAATATTATGTGTGAGTTTCCAACGCGTAGAAGCACACCCAGTGTACAGCGATGTCTGATTGTGTTTGTGTACATGTTGTCTAATGGCTTTGTTCACTGTAACACTGTCACTACTGTAACTGAAGTACAATACATCGATGTTCTCCTCATTCATTGTAAAGCGAAGTCTGATTGTGTTTTTGTACATGTTGTTTAATGGCTTTGTTCACTATAACACTGCCACTACTGTAACTGAAGTACAATTCATCGATGTTCTCTACACACAGTGTACAACGATGTCTGATTGTGTTTGTGTACATGTTGTCTAATGGCTTTGTTCACTGTAACACTGCTACTACTGTTACTGAAGTACAATTCATCGATGTTCTCTACACACAGTGTACAACGATGTCTGAATGTGTTTGTGTACATGTTGTCTAATGGCTTTGTTCACTGTAACACTGTCACTACTGTAACTGAAGTACAATACATCGATGTTCCCTACACACAGTGTATAGCGATGTCTGATTGTGTTTGTGTACATGTTGTCTAATGGCTTTGTTCACTGTAACACTGTCACTACTGTAACTGAAGTACAATACATCGATGTTCTCTACACACAGTGTATAGCGATGTCTGATTGTGTTTGTGTACATGTTGTCTAATGACTTTGTTCACTGTAACACTGCCACTACTGTAACTGAAGTACAATTCATCGATGTTCTCTACACACAGTGTACAACGATGTCTGATTGTGTTTGTGTACATGTTGTCTAATGGCTTTGTTCACTGTAACACTGCTACTACTGTTACTGAAGTACAATTCATCGATGTTCTCTACACACAGTGTACAACGATGTCTGAATGTGTTTGTGTACATGTTGTCTAATGGCTTTGTTCACTGTAACACTGTCACTACTGTAACTGAAGTACAATACATCGATGTTCCCTACACACAGTGTATAGCGATGTCTGATTGTGTTTGTGTACATGTTGTCTAATGACTTTGTTCACTGTAACACTGCCACTACTGTAACTGAAGTACAATTCATCGATGTTCTCTACACACAGTGTACAACGATGTCTGATTGTGTTTGTGTACATGTTGTCTAATGGCTTTGTTCACTGTAACACTGCTACTACTGTTACTGAAGTACAATTCATCGATGTTCTCTACACACAGTGTACAACGATGTCTGAATGTGTTTGTGTACATGTTGTCTAATGGCTTTGTTCACTGTAACACTGTCACTACTGTAACTGAAGTACAATACATCGATGTTCCCTACACACAGTGTATAGCGATGTCTGATTGTGTTTGTGTACATGTTGTCTAATGGCTTTGTTCACTGTAACACTGTCACTACTGTAACTGAAGTACAATACATCGATGTTCTCCACACACAGTGTACAACGATGTCTGATTGTGTTTGTGTACATGTTGTCTAATGGCTTTGTTCACTGTAACACTGTCACTACTGTAACTGAAGTACAATACATCGATGTTCTCCACACACAGTGTACAACGATGTCTGATTGTGTTTGTGTACATGTTGTCTAATGGCTTTGTTCACTGTAACACTGTCACTACTGTAACTGAAGTACAATACATCGATGTTCTCCACACACAGTGTACAACGATGTCTGATTGTGTTTGTGTACATGTTGTCTAATGGCTTTGTTCACTGTAACACTGTCACTACTGTAACTGAAGTACAATACATCGATGTTCCCTACACACAGTGTATAGCGATGTCTGATTGTGTTTGTGTACATGTTGTCTAATGACTTTGTTCACTGTAACACTGTCACTACTGTAACTGAAGTACAATACATCGATGTTCTCTACACACATAGTGTACAACAATGTCTGATTGTGTTTGTGTACATGTTGTCTAATGGCTTTGTTCACTGTTTAGCCCAGTCAATGAATGCAATAAAACACCCTTTTTCGCAACTAAATGGTGGAAAGCTGGATTTTTTATATGTGATAGAACCACATGAGAGGTGTATTTTCTCAAAAGTCCCCACTTCTACCCCTTGAGCTTTCCCCCCCACCCCCCTCCAAACATAGAAATTGCAGTGTTTTACTTAATTGGTCATAATTCGAATACTATGTAAGCTATCGAGCTTCAATTTGTTTTGTTTTATTTCTGATTAGTTTTCCTACAACTTTTGTATTTACAACATTTTTCTAAAACCAATACTTAGGGAGATATAAAATTTAAACTTCGTTAAAACCTTTGTTTCAGAGTGCAAAATTTTGTTTTTCTCTATGTATACTTTTAAATAGAAATAATACGCAAATATGGTTCAAACAAAAGTTTTAGCACGTTTTTCAAGGTTTAAAAATATATTATTGGTTAGTCATCTAGGTGACCGGGTGAAGAGCTGGGCGTCGGCAAAGAGAGCGCGTGCGGGCTAGTTGAACACCTCTGCGCTGCGTCATCGCATCTAGCCCAGCCAATAAACGCACAAACTGCCTTTTTTCGTATAGTCCAGGAGCAAACTGCACATATCCAGCTTCCGTGGGATTTTTTGTGAAGCAAATGTGTGACTATGTGGAATCTCTTTATTATATGTCACATAATGGTTTAGTACCGGGTGTTTACCCTCAAATTGCGGGGTTTGGTTTTTATGACGTAGTAAATCCAAGATGGCCGCCATGTGTGACATCTATTCATTAAATTAATAATAACTCTTTTCAGAGTAAAATAATCGAATTTTAATTTACACCATTGAATTCAGCTCAAAAAATCAAACAATTTGGTGTTTTGAATCATTGCTCTATGACCATTGGTTACCGAGATATTGAAGGCGGAAAACACAGAACATTGTCCCCATGTTATCCTTATAGGAAAAAAATAAAATTGTATATCTAGCTTATTACTCAGCATATCTTAACAATAATTGGTATGTGGCTTCATTTAGTAGAGATCTACTTGATTATGGCCTAAAATCCCCCATTTTTACATTTCCGTGGCAGCAAACCTGCATACTAACTTCCAATGTTATTCTTATGGACAATTTTTTGCATGCTTGTTCATGAACACACTTTGAGAAATGATGATGAGTGGCTCCATTTTCATTATTTATTGAAGCATTTGTAATTCGTTGAGTATACAGGTCTGCTGCTACGGGTAGGTCTGCTATAAACAAATTATAGCATTATGTGACATGTAATAAAGAGATTCCACATAGTCACACATTCCCTTCACAAAAAATCCCACGGAATACAGATTGCCCCCCGACTAGTAGCTAAATAGTGGCAAGCTGAGTTTGTTATATGTAATGGAACCACTTAAGACGTGTTTTTAAAAAAAGTTCCCGATTTTCCCCCTTGAGCTTCTCCCCGCAACCCCTTCCAAACCTGGAAATTACAGTCGTTCACTTTACTGGATATAATTCAAATTCTACGCATGCCATCGTAGTGAAATTTGATTTGTATTATTTGTAATTAGTGTTTATCTTCAACTTTTGTACTAAAGGTTTTCTTATAAAACTATATCCAAAGAGATATAGCATTTTAACTTTGTTTGATAAAGTTCATGTTTTAGATTACACAATTTTGTTTTACCCTCTACATATTTTTTCCAAATAAAATGCGCAAAATGTTTCTAACAAAAATGTTGTGTATGTTTCTTACGGTTTATAAATATATATTTGGTTAGTCGTCTGAACGAACTAATGTAGTGTGGTGCGTTGGCAAAGAGAGCGCGTGCAGGCTTCTTCAAAGCATCTGCGTAGCCCAGCCCCGCTCGTCGATGCGTCGCGTCGTAGGCACCGACATCGCTTAGTTCTCAAAGGTTGTATACAAATGCTTAAGGCGTTGTACTTTGTACTTTACTACCAAAACAATCTGTATCCAAGCTTAACCGTTAACTGCAAAAACAATTATTATTTAGATGGAACCCAATAATTTACTTTTTTATAACCAGTTTTGGTTTAGGTAAATTAATCTCTACCTACTTACTTCTTATACTAATATACTTCTTATACTATTTCTAATATTAAGCACAAAAATTGTTATTATCAATTTAAGTCATCCTGAGTTTATTGTTTTGTTTGTATGCTGTAAAATGGAGATGTCCGTTGAAATAAATAAATAAATAAATAAATAAATAAATAAATACTTGCAATACTTGTAATACTTGATTTCTTCATCTTAGACCAACGGAAGCTTGATAGATTGATGTATAGAACACTAGGCCTAATAAACACTTTGAAAATCACTATAAACATACTCTTTGCTCTTCCTTAAGTTACAATGTGCTTTCCATTATCCAATGAAACTCGCTTTGTTCCGCAAGATTTATACTAGCTGCGCCTCGCGGTCAGTAAAGATCTAAACAGT